CAGTTAACTTAACTGATTAATTTCGTTAAGATGCTCTACTGAACCTGACATGATATTTAGACTTAACCGGAATAACCGGAGCTGAACTGACATGAACTGATCGAACATGAATTTACTGAACTGAAATTATCCCGAAATAATAACTGAAAGTACCATTAAAATCATGAACCGGGCTGAAATCATAACATACGGACTGAACCGTTTTAAAAATGGGACTAAACCGGTCCAGCCGGTCTGAACCAGTCTGGACCGGACTGCCGGTCGGCTGAACTGGGCAGTCGGTGTCGGCTCGGCCAGCAGCCTTCCGTACTGCGCACGCTGGCGCTCTGCTCGGACTGGCCGCGGCGCTGGGGCTAACTGGCGGACTGGCCGCGGCACTGGGCACAGCCACGCGTGCTGGCGCACTGATACGGAAGTGGTCATCAACCCCGGTGAGTCGGATGACGAGGATGGCGATGGTCTCGATATTTGGCTGGAAAGCATGTTGGAAGAGCCATCAAGCCCGATTTATCGACCATCATGCAAGAGAGACTGGCCAAAAGGGTGTGGTCCACGGGCCAAGTTGAAGATTGGGAAGCGCCGGGCCAAAAGACGACGCAAAACAAAGGCGAAAAAGGCGAGCCAATGTTGTGGGCCGTGCACTAGGAAGAAACAGGCATGGTGTTCGGAGTTTCAAAGACGAGGAAGGCTAGGAATGGAGGATGGCTGGATATGGCGTGCAGGTGACTGTATTGGGTTGGATGGTTGGGATCCATGGCCGTCGGGGGACAAAGGGATCGACGAGGACCGGCTATCGGGAGGATGCCGTGCATCATGCCATGATGCGTGCAAGAGGTCGAAGGGTCGAGGCGTTAAACAGAGACGCGACACCAAGATGTTGAATGCAAGTGACGCGCGATCGTGCGTAGGAGGTAGGCAAGCGGCGGGCATCGGCGATACGCATGGAACCGCGGGTGTACGTGGGTGCGCGATAGGCGATCGGGACACAGGCGTCGACGTGACGCGCGGGCAGGCAGGCGAACGCGAGAAGAGTATGGGGGCATCGAACGTGGGCAGCAACCGCGCAAGTAGCGAGGGCGCACGGACGAGAGCGCGCGATTGGGGCGCGCATGCGCAAGGCCTAAACCTTGCGGGCTTAGGAGTGCCGAGCGATGGGGCACACGCCAATGAGGAAGGCGGCAGCAGCTGGGCAAGCGCGTTGGCGCGCGATTGGGCGACCAGCGCGCGAGGCCTAGTCCGCACGGGACTAGGCGAGACCATGGCAACGGGTGACGCATGCGAGGCGCGCGCGCGCGAAGCCGCGCACGACAAGGACTAGGGAAACCCGAAGGGCGGCGCGCACGCGTAGGGCGAGAGAGGCGGCCGAACAAGTACTTGTGCATGAGTTGGAATTCTTTGGAGTGCAAGCCAAGCAAGATCAAGATCTAGTCAATTTAGGACTCTAGTATATTTAGTTTCCTTCTTGCACAATAGTATCTAGAATGTTTAGGAAGTTAATATTTTATTGCTTTAATGTGTTTCCTAGGTAGATTAGAATTAGTAGTAATTAGGATCTATAAATAGGGATGTTCCCTCATCGTTTTTCATGTCCAAGAATGATGAAATAGAAAAGAACGTTTGTTCGAAACCGTGTGTTAGAGTCGTGAGATTCGATCATGCAATCGAATTGGTGAGGCTAAGACCCAAGCCAGTTCAACGATTTAGAGAGGCTAAGACCCGATCTATTTCGAGAGTGTAGCGAGGCTAATACCCGAGTGAACTCAAGTATCGTGAGAGAGTTAGGCTAATAACCGAGTCGATCACACCTATCGTCGAGAGCAAGGCCGTGGCGAAGCCGTGATCGAGACAAGTCGAGGACATGCAACACCCGATCCGTCATCATTGGTGCTTTCATTGAGAGTGATCGATTGGGTGTTCGTGAACTTTTTCTATCCCATTCTTTTTCTTTGGTTCGATTTTTTTTTGAGTCTTTTGTTCGAATTTTTTTGAATTTTATCCCTAATTTTCGAAAAATTTCGTGAGTATAAAAAAAAAAAAGTGTCATCAGTCCTTCGTTTGATTTTTCTTCGGTTATTACCTTTTGTTAAGGGGCCAAATTTCTCTTGTTTTATTTTTCTTTTTGGTTCGACTTGTTCGAATTATTTTTTTTTTATATAGAGTTTTAAAAAAAAAATGTCTTATGTGCCAATGGACGAGATGGATTGGGAAGATCTCGAACTATTGGAGAGTTTGGAGAGAGAACTTACCCCATGGGAGAGCACATATCTAGACGAGCTCCATGAACGAAGAAATCGAGAAGCGTACGAGCGACAACTCATGGAAGGGCAAGGAGCAAGAGGGGGTGAAGTTCTAAACCATGAAGATGATGGTGCGCTTAACTTTCTAATCCTTGAGGACAAGGAAAGTCTCCAAGAGGAGGGGAATGATACGGAAGTGGTCATCAACCCCGGTGAGTCGGACGACGAGGATGGCGATGGTCTCGATATTTGGCTGGAAAACATGTTGGAAGAGCCATCAAGCCCGATTTATCGACCATCATGCAAGAGAGACTGGCCAAAAGGGTGTGGTCCACGGGCCAAGTTGAAGATTTGGAAGCGCCGGGCCAAAAGACGACGCAAAACAAAGGCGCAAAAGGCGAGCCAATGTTGTGGGCCGTGCACTAGGAAGAAACGGGCGTGGTGTTCGGAGTTTCAAAGACGAGGAAGGCTAGGAATGGAGGATGGATGGATATGGCGTGCAGGTGACTGTATTGGGTTGGATGGTTGGGATCCATGGCTGTTGGGGGACAAAGGGATCGGCGAGGACCGGCTATCGGGCGGATGGCGTGCATCATGCCATGATGCGCGCAAGAGGTCGAAGGGCCGAGGCGTTAAACGGAGACGCGGCACCAAGATGTTGAATGTAAGTGACGCGCGATCGTGCGCAGGAGGGCGATCTTGGAGAAGCCCTCGATGAACCTGCAATAATAACCAGCTAATCCGAGAAAACTGCGAACCTCAGACGGACTCCTCGGTGTCGACCAGTTCTGAACGGCTGAAACCTTCGAAAGATCCACCTCGATACCTGCCTGCGTAATCACATGACCCAGAAAGGATACTCGCTGGAGCCAGAACTCGCATTTGGAGAATTTGGCGTACAACTTTTCTTGTCTGAGGGTTTCGAGAACCACCCTCAGATGCTCCTCGTGCTCCTTCTGGCTCTTCGAGTAGATAAGGATATAGTCAATAAAGACAATAACGAACTGATCGAGGTACGGATGGAAAATACGGTTCATGAGGTCCATGAAAACAGATGGCGCATTGCTGAGACCGAAAGGCATGACGATGAACTCGTAATGGCCGTAACGAGTCCTGAAAGCGGTCTTAGCGATAACTGACTCCTTAATCTTCAGGTGGTGGTAGCCTGATCGTAAGTCAATCTTTGAGAACACACAGGCTCCCCTCAACTGATCAAATAAGTCGTCGATCCTGGGAAACGGGTACTTATTCTTGATCGTCAACCGGTTAAGATCCCGGTAGTCGATACACATGAGCATTGATCCGTCCTTCTTCTTAACAAAGAGAACGGGTGCTCCCCACGGTGACACGCTCGGTTGGATGAAACCGAGTCGTAACAGCTCCTGAATCTGAGTCTTAAGCTCTTGCAGCTCCTTAGGCGCCATGCGATATGGGGCTTTGGATACTGGACCGGCCCCTGGGATGAGATCAATAGAAAACTCCACCTGACGGTTGGGCGGTCCTCCTGGAAGCTCGTCTGGGAACACGTCCACGAACTCGCAAACGATTGGAACATCATGAGGGGTTCGCGCTTTCTCAGAATCCTCGACAAGGCTTACCAGATAACCCTTGCAGTTGCCTCGTCGCAATAGCTTAGTGGCTTTCGCCATCGAAACAACCTGAGGCAGTGAACGATTCCTGGGGCCGAAGAAAGTAATCGACTCGTCTCCCGGAAGATAGAGAGTGATCTCCCGGTCATGACACCTGATGTCAGCATGATAAAAGGATAGCCAATCCATCCCGAGAATAAGATCAAAATCCTTCATCTCGAGAACAAACGCGTCGGCAGTCAATACTCGGCCACCGATGGAAAGGCTAAGATCTGAGGCTTTAGCTGAGGTCACTATCTTTCGTCCCGAGGCTAAACTCACCTCGAGAGGATCGACATCGGTAACGGCGTGAACTCTGATGGCATCGAGACATCGTCGTGAATTTAAAGTATGCGTCGCTCCAGTATCGAATAAAGCAAACACAGGAACATTATTAAGAACAACCATTCCGGACATGGTACCTGGCTGCTGTTCGGCCTCTGCCTGATCGACCGCGTAAACCCTGGCCTGCTGCCTGCCCCTCTGCTGCTGCTGCTGAGGCTGCCTCTGTGCCTGCTGACGGGGCTGCTGCTGCTGCGGTGGTTGTTGAGGCTGCTGGGGCTGCTGCGCCTTCTTCGGACAACGGTTCGCGAAGTGTCCAGGCTCGTGACAATAGTAGCACACATCCTTAACAAAGCGACACTCGCCTCGGTGAAGTCGTCCGCATGTCGGGCACTGGGGAATCTGCTGTAGCCTCCGTCGGGTCCTCTTATCTGCCGGGGCACCTTTCCCCTTCCTTTTGTTGTTCTTTGGCGGCTGGGTAGTTGGTAGAGCTGGCAACGGTGGAACTGAAGATGTCTGGGCAGGGGCGGATGGCTGGAACTGCTCACGAACGGCCTCCCTCCTAATGCTGGCCTCCACCTCCTGGGCAATGGAGACTGCACGTGCGTACGTCTGTGTCCCGTGGCCTACGATGTTATGACGGACTGCTGGGTAAAGCCCGTCAATGAACCGCTGCGCTCTCTGAGCCTCCGTGCGAACAAGATCCGGTGCGAAACCTGCAAGTCTGGTGAACTCTCGCTCGTACTCATCGACTGTACGAGTGCCTTGCTGAAGCGCTAAGAACTGGCGCTCCATCTCTGCCCCATAGTAGGAAGGGTAGTACTTGTCACGGACTAGCTCCTTTAACCTGTCCCAAGTACAACCCGCCTTTTCACCGGGACGCATGCTCCAGTAGGCATTCCACCAGAGCCTTGCATCACCAGTGAGCTGAAGTTGAGCGCAAACTACGCGATATCTATCGGGACATTCCATGACCTCAAAGATGAAATCCAACCCCTGAATCCATTCATCAACGATGCAGGGGTCTCCTTGTCCTGAGAACTCTTCGGCGTGATAGTCGCGGAACTGAGCGACTACCGTAGCCTGAGTAGGAGCCTGATGATCGGGTTCCCTACGTGGCGGCATCTGAACATTGAGAAAAGTTTAACATTACTGAATACGTTATAACATTACTGACTGATTACTAAGGCACACAGATCTCTTGACGAGTTGCCAAAAATGGCAGATAAATACTAACATGAAACCTGAAGAACTCTAGAGTCATATAGGAAGATCCTAACGTCTAGAGTCATATCTGAATGCCTGAATTCTAGAGTTATGTCCGAACTCTAAAATCTGAACCTGATTCGAGCATCTTAACTAAAGTCCTGATCCTCAATTCTGAGCATAGACAAAGTAATATGTTTATAACTGAAAAAAAACTGCATCAGTACTTACCTGTCGTCGGCGGGGAGTGAGCATGACGGTTCAGGTTTTTCTGAAAAATTACTGACTGAAATCTTATCAGAGACGCATAAACGTGCTCTGATACCAATTGTAACACCCCTCCTTACTGTCAAATCAGAGTGCGCAATAATTCGCAAAGTCTTTTAAAATAAAACCTTTTTACTTTGCGAAAACTGATTCGGGGTGCTACCTTTAGAAATCGTGACTTAACTTTAAAAACCGTTGATTTAATTATTAATAAAATCGTCCGGTTACTTAAATCGTAATTTCTTAAAAGTTCGTCAAAATAGTAAGTTCGCCAAAGTGAGTATGTCAAAAGTCATCAAACATCGTCAAAAGTCATCAAAAGATCATAAGCGGAAGCGTAAGTCATGAATATAATTATACAGTCCAAAACATAAATATTGAAGTCCCCGTCACGTCACGCTCATGCTCCCGGCCCGACGTCCTGACCTTAAAAACATGATAAAACTGGGGAGTGAGCACTATGGCACTGTGCTCCGTGGAAACTCATACTAATGTAAAACATCGTAAATAATAACAGTATCATGAACTAAGCATATATAACTGAACTGAACTGAAACTGATATCTGATACCGGTCTGATCTCGCGACATAAGTCACGTAACTGATAACTGAAATCTGTCGGCACAAACTAATACCGCAATCTCCCGGCACAAACTAATACCGGACCATGTGCACACTCTAGTGGTTAGATTAGGCCACTAGAGCCCAGAATGGACCGGCGACCATTCCGAGCGGATACTGAATATACATACCTCGAACATGGTAGCGTAATTATAAACAATGTAGTACTTAGTCTGAGTCCCCACCTGAACTACTGAATTGAAAGGTAGTGCTGATGCCTGCTCAAACTGAAAATAATATAAACAATTACTATTGACTATGCTCAGACTGTTAACTTAACTGATTAATCTCGTTAAGATGCTCTATTTAACTTAACATGATATATAGACTTATCCGGAATAACCGGAACTGACTTAACTTGAACTGATTGGACATGAATTTACTGAACTGAAATAATTCCAGAAATTTAACTGAAAATGTCTTTAAGACACGAACCGGGCTGGACCTTAATCACGTGAACAAAACCGGATTAAAATGAGACTGAACTGGAGTAAACTGAGGCTGAACCAGTCCAGTCGGTCTGAACCGGTTTGGACCGGACTTCGGTCCGACCGGACCAGCAGTCGGCTGGGCTCGGCCTGCAGCCTGCCGCGTGCAGTGCGCAGCATGCACGGGCGCTGTTGGCTGCTGCGGGGTGCTGGG